CGCTCTTCAGTATTCAGAATATTTGTTGATATCTCCCCCCACTATCCGGATAACTAAGGGCCATACTGGCCTATGCGTGGCCCCGTTGAGGGCCGCCTGGGTTAACCTGACCTATCCTATGTAGCTGCACGTTTCGCACCTAACGCATATATGCATACATGTATAGAGCATTGTCATCTTGTCCTCGAATCGCGGCAAGCAGCAAAGGAAAGATTTCTCATCGGGAATTAAGAATATAATTGCATTCGCATCCACACAAGAATCTGTACTATTGGCTCAACAGATATTATGCTTAAGAAAAGCTCCAAGCTTTAGTGGAATGGAATCATTTCCGAGAAGGTCAAACCGTCTTGGAAAATAAAAAGAGTTACGAACTTAAGATACTAGTAATTTAATGAAAACTCATTGAAAACCTCCTTTCAAAAGTAAAGTACTTTTGAATAAAGGGTTCACCACCTGACCTTTGGTTCTTTGCAACGATAAAACATTTAAGGTGGACGAATTTCCCCGATGGATAGTTTTTGAGACAGCCCATGTTGATTATACAGTTTCTGCAAAATACCAGGAATATGTTAATGAATTATGCAAAATGTGAATAGTTTTACCGGAGCTATTAGGATTGACTGATGGCACTGTGCACTTGATGGACCAGTTCGCGAGTGTGACGCTCACTAACTAACTGCAACTTGACCGAGGCACTGAGAGGAACGGAGATCAGTTTGCCAGACATTAGTGGAACGACATGGTTGGGGGGCACCTCAGTGCCCTGGGTCACCGGCGCAGGGTTTTGTTGTTCCATGGCCGCATTAGTGTGTGCCTGTGCGTGTGCGTGACGCTAAACTTTCAGCCCATTTGGGCTTTGGATTGGTTTACTTTTTAACTGAATTCCTCGAGCAAAAGTCGCTTAAAGGGCAGCCACAATCTGCTCCCTCTCTCCCACCATCACCATCACCATCCGTGTGTCTATTATGCACACTTGCTATGCCCTTGCAAAGGATATTATGATTTCTATGTTTGCAACGAAAAGAGATAAGTATTTATAAAAGATAAGTATTTCATAAAAAGTTGTACGATTGTCCAACGAGCAAACGGGGCCCATTTGCTTAGAGTAATTTACAATTTTCAAATTCCTATCAAATCTGTTGCCTAAAAATGATTTAATTCTTAAAAAACTTTTCATTCCTTTCAATTGTTATTCAACATTTAAGAGCAATGAAACGAGTAGTTGCACTACCATCTCTGGAATAGATATTGTACCGCTCTGGAAAAGTAAATAAATTCGAATACTTAGAACCATAGCACGAAAAACATGCTTTCTCTGCTGTCTGCTCACCGAAAGGACTGAGAAAATCTACCCAGACTCGCTCTCTCTGTTGAAGCTCTCTTTCGAAGAGTGTCGTTCGGTTATCAGCAGCTGAGCAAAACGAGCCAAGTGGAAGCACTAGGTGTATGTTAGTTGCATTAGGTTTTCGTTGTTGCTTTTCTATTTGCCTGTAAATCGCAGGTAAAGCGTAGATGAGGAAGGGTGAAAGAGGTAAACACACACACATATATACACAAAAAAGGACTTTTGGAAAATTTTGCTCAACGAAGTGCCTCATGAGCAAAAAGAGAGCGACAAAATACTCTCATTGGTTGATCAAAAAGCGCATTGAGAACAAACGAATTCGACGTATCGTTTCGATTCCGTTTTTAATCGGGTCCACGGGCAACAGATTTTTATACTCGATACTCAAAATGAGTATTGGGGTATATTAGATTTGTGGCAAAAGTGGATGTGTGTAACGTCCAGAAGGAATCGTTTCCGACCCCATAAAGTGTATATATTCTTGATCAGCATCAATAGCCGAGTCGATTGAGCCATGTCTGTCTGTATTTCAAAACTTCGCACCGCCCACTTCCGCCCCCACAAAGGACGAAAATCTGTGGCATCCACATTTTTAAAGATACGATAAAACCAAAAACGCAGAATCGTAGAGGATGACCATATCTTCTAAAGTGTAAAATCTCAACCAGATCGTATAATTATTATGGCCAGAATCAAGAAAACAATTTCATTGTTTCTCGCTCTGTCTCTCTCTAACAGTTTCGTGGTCGGTTTTGCCAATTGCAAAATATGAGTTCAAGGATCTCAGAAGAACCTATAAGAGCCAGAGCAACCAAATTTGGTTTCCACACTCCTGTGATATCGGACCTTGACCGTTTTGTGTCAAAATTTCGCCGCACCTCCTTCCGCAACCACAAATCTCAGAGACTATTAAGGCTAGAGTAACCAAATTTGGTATCCGCACTTCTGTTAGATCTCACTATAAAACGTATATCTCAGAATTTCGCCCCACCCCCTTCCGCCCCACAAAGGACGAAAATCTGTTGCATCCACAATATTGCAGATTCGAGAAAACTAAAAACGCAGAATCATAGAGAATGACCATATCTATCCAGTTGCTGAATTTGGATCAGATCGGATAATTTTTATAGCCGAAAAGAAAAAAAAAACAATTTTCAGAGGCTACGCAGCGCCCGACGTCACGCTCAGACTGATTTTCTGTCTCTCTCGCACGCACTCTTTGTCGTGTCGTTTAATATTAGCGCCGTCTGCCGGAGGAGAGCCATACTGACTTAGTATCGGGTATAACTGTAGAGTTGCGGTGTCCGCAGCAACTCACAACGTTCCCCCTCGTTTTATGACTGCTTGCAAAGTTTTGCCATTTTTTTCGAGCCCTGCTTACAACGCTCGAACAAACCACGTTAGAGTTCTTATTCCTTATAGGTCGGATAACTATATCACAAAGCTATAACCCATAAGGATATTAGTTTATGTGTTTATTCTTACCTTTCAATCAGTTTCAATGTACATACATATGTATGTATCATCATATAAGTCAATCAGTCCAAGCATGGATAAGTCCTTGATTGAGTGGTTTGCTAATCTATCCGTATCAGGGAACTATCTTAGTCAACCCATGTCTATGTGTTTTTGATGCGGATTAGCCTCTGGTCATTGACATTTATTAGTTAATCATCAGGAATCAGTGATGAAAGGGGTCATCAATCAAAAAAAGCAATTAACAATGCCTCAACCAGCCTCTATCAAAGTTGATCTTGAATCTAGGACTCAATCATTTATGATTACAATCGCTCTCACAGATATCAAACCATAATCTCTAAAACAAGATTCGACCACAGATCAATCAACATTACATCCGCTATGTTCCTTTCACGCTGAGCGTCAATTCAATCAGATGGCAATCAATCGCGCATCATTGCCAATCAATTTGGCGCTTAGTCGAATTGATTCAATTCTTTCATTCAGCATTCACTTACCACTCGACATTTATTACAGAGACAATGGTGCCCCCCACAGAAGCGGATTTATTACGGTTAACAATGGGCCAAGTATTCATTATTAAAATACTTCCGGAGGTGTGGGCGGTTGGCCACCCTGTGGTGTGGTTACCGTGGTTCGGGGATGCTGGCTGGTGACTGGCGGTGCCTCCAATGAATAACAAAAAAACAAGACAAAACAAGGGGTAACATTGTGAGTTGCTGCGGACACCGATACTAAGTCAGTATGGCTCTCCTCCGGCAAACGCCGCTAATATTAAGCGACACGACAAAGAATGCGTGCGAGAGAGACAGAAAATCAGTCTGAGCGTGACGTCGGGCGCTGCGTAGCCACTGCAAATTGATTTGTTCCTTTTGGCTATAAAGATTGTCTGATCTGATTTAGATTCAGCAAACTGATAGATATGGTCGTTATCTATGATTCTGCGTTTTTAGTTTTCTCGAATTTGCAATATTGTGGATGCAACAGATTTTCGTCTTTTGTGTGAGCGGAAGAGGGTGGGGGGAAATTTTTAGATATACGTTTAATAGTGAGATCTAACAGCAGTGCGGATACTAAATTTGGTTACTCTAGCCTTAATAGTCTCTGAGATTTGTGGATGCCCCAGATTTTCGTCCTTTGCGGGGGCGGAAGGGGGTGTGTCGAAATTTTGACACAAAACGGTCAAGGTCCGATATCACAGGAGTGTGGATACCAAATTTGGTTGCTCTAGCTCTTATGGGTTCTGAGATTCTTGAACTCAAATTTTGCAATTGGCAAAATCGACCATGAAACCTGTGTGTTAGAGAGAGACAGAGTGAGAAACAATGAAATTGTTTTCTTGATTCTGGCTATAATAATTATACGATCTAGTTGAGATTTTACACTTTAGAAGATATGGTCATCCTCTACGATTCTGCGTTTTTGGTTTTATCGTATCTTTAAAAATGTGGATGCCACAGATTTTCGTCCTTTGTGGGGGCGGAAGTGGGCGGTGCGAAGTTTTGAAATATTTTTGTAGCAGTGACATATCACAGAAATCTGGATCCAAAACATCGTTGCTCTAGCTCTTATAGTCTTTGAGCATTAGGCGCTGAAGGGGACGGACAGACGGACAGACGGACGGACGGACAGACAAACAGGGCTCAATCGACTCGGCTATTGATGCTGATGAAGAATATATATACTTTATGGGGTCGGAAACGATTCCTTCTGGACGTTACACACATCCACTTTCACCACAAATCTAATACACCCCAATACTCATTTTGAGTATCGGGTATAAAAATCCCAACATTCGTGGAATTTTGATTGGTTTTTCGGTTGTTCATGAAGGGAAATTTTTCTGAAAAAGACGATGTGAAAAATGTATATTAAAATGCATGACTTTTTCCATATTTGGAGGAGGGAGGGATTATGTATTTGTTTTTTAATGCCGAAGGGAATTAAAATTGTGGAAGGTGGTTAATGATATTCCAAGAAAAAAACGTATACAAAAATTGGATCAAATATCCATTCGTTCAGTTTTAACTAGCAATGTATCCCTGATATTAAAGTCATCACTGAATAGATTACATCAATCCCCTCATACGAGTATACTAAACAAACTCGTATAGATTAGAACTTTAAAAAAACTTCTCTCGATCTATGGACAAACAAGTCAACAATTATTGCTTAGATTTTGCTCATTTCTACGAGGCCAGGAGTGCAAAAATTAAACCGGTTGGCTCATTCCTCAAAGTTACAGACATGAATCAACGGACAAGCGACAGCAATGCAGCGATAGACGAGGAGGTGTCACAACAGGACAAGCGCACGGCCCGAGGGATGGGAGGTGAAATGTCGACTCAAGCCTATCTAGAGGAGCTAAAATGGCCAGTGGAGAACCTTTCTATGCAGCAACAGCAGAAGCCTACCATTCAGGACCAGACCCAGGCTCAGAAGCGTATGTGCGCGCAGAGATCCGGCTGTGGTATGCACCATAGCTATCATCCAGGCGATTATCTAGCAAAACAGCTACACCAGTGCCAGAAGTATCAGAAGAATTTTGATCAGAGTCCAGGCAAGCAACAGCAGCCTTCTCAGGATCCTCAACAACAGCAGCCGAAGCAGCAGTATCTGGAACAGACATGCCAGACTCCTCCCATACCGAAGCAGTGTCTTCAGACTTCGTATCCGAGACTTCCTCAAGAACAGGCACAGCGTAATGACAGCCCGACCATGAAAGCATCTTCAATGAGCTCCAGCTCCAAAGGTATGAACGTCCTATTTCGGCGTCCTTCTCAACGAAATATTTCCTTTCTGACGGAAAATCCAGAGCCCTCCAATACAGCAGTTGGCCAACCGTCTTCATGCTTGAGCAATACGGATGAGGCGAATTTCGCTGAAAATATCGATGAAAGTGATAAAAAGACATCAAATATGTACATGGAATTCGTCGCTCAGCACTATTCGCATCAGCAACAGCACTCAAATAAGCAGTATCAGCCGGATTTAAATCAGAATTCTCCTCAACGCAATCAAAGCCAGAAGAGAGCACCGATAAGCAAAAATACAGACGTCCTATCCCCGCGTCCTCAGCAGTACGGTCCACAAAAGCCAAAGATGCTTTGTAAGAACACGGACGTGATAGACTTTGACAAAGATTTAAAAGGACTTGATAAAAACTCATCATACAAATACATGGAGTATGCCCCTAAACTGTGTCAGAGTCCACCGCATCAGACGAATCAGAATATTTTTCATAAGCACAATCAGGAGCATTATCAAATGATGTCACCGTCACGTCAGAAGATCGGAAAACAGCAAGCTAAGCACATCCAATTGTCGCCTCCTCATCAATACAGTTGTCTACTTGAGCCGGAAAAGTGGGGCAGAGAGATTGGTGGGGAACTTCTCGCTAAGAACTCGGACATTCTTACATCAACATCCTTGAGCGACATCTCCGAGAAGAATTGCGAAGATTCCACTGTAAAACAAAAACGATATAACAAATGCGGAAGGTGTAGTGATGAGAACGGCACGAACAGCACCTCCACGGGAACGACCGTGATCACTGTGAAGTGCAGGGACGAGCTGCGTTCCATGGTCCGGAACGAGATGGAAATTCATTCGGTGTTCGGTGAACTGTCTGATACTGTGGTCTCTCAGTTGAAGGACTATTTGTGCGCGCTGTCAACAACTGACAATGTTCCCCCGCCCAAGAGCCAGTATAAGGATAGCCAGTGTACAAATGCACCCAAGAACTCAGCCATAGATAATGTCCTGGATACCAAGAAGCAGGAGTCATATCAAACCCAAAATATAGCATCGTTCGGCAAAGGCATTCCCAAAGCTCAAGAAGTCCGAATTCCGCAAAATCCAGGACTAGCCAGAGAGAATGCCGGAGAGTTCCAGTCTATGAGCACACCGTATAAGAGCATGGAGTATGTTCCTAACCAGGGTTTGCTTCAGTATCCTACTCAGCGTACGTATCAGGATCTTACCAAGGAGCAGACACAGAAGTCGGAGCGGAGCGCTTCGTATCACAAGAACCAAAAGCAACCTTCCTATCGTACCTTCAAGCTGGAGGCGAAACAGAACTCTCAACAGAAGCAGTCTCCAAATCAGCAGATCTCAGACTCATCTCCATTCGCATGCTTCAGCGATGTGCCTGAGGATGATTCCGAAGAGTCTATTTTCGAAATGGATAAGAAGACACTCAACAAGCTCATGGAAGGTTCCCCGAAGGACAAACTCAAACACAGGGTGTCCGGTGACGAGCATGATGGGTTTTCCATGGCTAGTAGCAACTCGGTATCGACTTCGATTAGTGCGAAGAGCGGGGACGAGCTGCGTGCCATGATCTGGGACGAGATAGACGGTGATCAAAAATCTATGCGTAGTCAATTCTCAAGGACTACCAATGCCACGTCGTCAAAGCCACGACATAAGGATGTAGAAGAGAATTTGTCCATCTCTTCAGACTTGAGTCAGCCCAGTGATGACGGAAATCACGATAGGAAGGAAACAATGTCCAAACATCCAAACATCGCTTCCCTCCCGAATTTGGCCATAGATGTTAATGCGCCCACCACTGATTCATTCAAGGGTTCGAAAAGAGATGAGCTGCCACAAATTGAGTGCAGTATGAGTATAGATGATTTAGTGAACTGCAAGGTCATCACTCCCATGATCATGAAGATACACAACAAGTATATGACCTCTATGCAGGATGCGATGCAGCTCATGAAGTATCTGGAGACGGTGCCGCGCCTTGTCGGTCAGATTTACAAGGATAACATTAAGTTGGAACAGAAGAAACTCTAAAAATTTTTAAAGTCACTTTTGATTCAATGATACCTTTTAATATATTTTTTAGCTATTGCATTATATAAAAAAAATTTCACAATACCAAGTAGAAATCTCGTTTAATTTATATTCGCGATTCGGTAAATACTTATGACTTACTTAAAGGAAAATCTTGGGCGGTGAGCTGCTTTCAATATTGATGAAACGACAGAGCAAGAGAAAGCTATGGAAGGAAGTCCGTTAGATTATTTCTCCTACCGATCTAAGAACATTGGAATGGCTTACGGAGAAAACTCCAAGCCAGGAGAAGACACAGAAACCATATCACATATCTGTCCTGGTGCAGCGTTTCAGTGATCAAGCCGCATTTCTACCACAACAGCCGCATCAGCAGCAGTACGATCAGAATCATTCTCAACAGTCGAAGACGTATCGCAAGAATTATCAGAACTCCGGCAAGCAGCAGCAGGTGCAAAAGAATAACGCCGCCCTTTCAGCATCATTCAGAAGAGCAGTACCCAAAGACTACGTATCATAATTCTCCAAATCAGCATCAAAATCCTCCTCAAGAGCAGCGTCAGCATTCTCAACAGCCGTACTATGATCAGACAGAACAAAATCCTGCCAAAATGATGCACTGTAAACAGCAGACGAAATACCAGAATGCCCCTACGAAGGACTATCCTCCACAGAAGCCGTCTGAAGAACAGTAATTTAATGAAAACTCATTGAAAGCCACCTTTCAAGAGTAATATATTTTTGACTACCTGACCTTTGAGTCTTTGCAACGATATAACATTTTAGGTATAACGAGAGGGTGGACCAATTTCCCCGATGGATGTTACAAGTCTTACAGTTTGAAAGTTGTTGGCAAAGCCCATGTTGATTATACAGTTTCTGCAAAATACCAGTAATATGTTAATGAATTATGCAAAATGAGAATAGTTTTACCGGAGCTATTAAGCCATCCTACAGAAGAAAAAGAAACAACTTTTGAGCACTGTCGATGCTGATATTTTTTGGATGGAATCGCGGTGCAAACTCATCCACAGACGGACAAAGTTTAATAAGAAGATAAAGCGACAACCAACTGACGAACAACGAAGGAACAACCCGTATTTAACTAATAGTCCAACTAAAATATTAAAAGAACTCACCCAGCCGGATGGCAACCATTAACCGTTAACCAATAAGAGAATCCACTGGGCTATAGACTCCTTCGCGGGCATAAAAGCACCAGGACTGGATGGGATATTCCCAGCGATATTGCAGGTGACCAAAGAGGCTTTACCTCATGGCTTTCCGCAATATACTCAGCATGTCTGAGTACGGGCTATATCCTTATCCCATGGACGACCTCGAGAGTTGTGTTCCTCCCCAAGTCAGGAAAGTGCAGCCATGTGAGTCTCAAGGATTACAGACCGATAAGCCTTACCTTCTTTCTACTAAAAACAATGGAAAAGCTGTAGGATTTTCCCATCAGGAGTGTGGTAGGGGGACTGATGTCAACTGATGTCAACCAACATGCCTACACCAAAGGAATCGGTGGAGACGGCACTACACTCGTTAGTAGTCACCATCGAGAACGCTCTTCAGTATTCAGAATATTTGTTGATATCTCCCCCCACTATCCGGATAACTAAGGGCCATACTGGCCTATGCGTGGCCCCGTTGAGGGCCGCCTGGGTTAACCTGACCTATCCTATGTAGCTGCACGTTTCGCACCTAACGCATATATGCATACATGTATAGAGCATTGTCATCTTGTCCTCGAATCGCGGCAAGCAGCAAAGGAAAGATTTCTCATCGGGAATTAAGAATATAATTGCATTCGCATCCACACAAGAATCTGTACTATTGGCTCAACAGATATTATGCTTAAGAAAAGCTCCAAGCTTTAGTGGAATGGAATCATTTCAGAGAAGGTCAAACCGTCTTGGAAAATAAAAAGAGTTACGAACTTAAGATACTAGTAATTTAATGAAAACTCATTGAAAACCACCTTTCAAGAGTAAAGTACTTTTGACTAAAGGGTTCGCCACCTGACCTTTGGTTCTTTGCAACGATAAAACATTTTAGGTGTAACGAGAGGGTGGACGAAATTCCCCGATGGATGTTACATGTTAAGTCTTATAGTTTGATAGTTTTTGGTTTTTTAGTTTTATGCAAAATGTGAATAGTTTTACCGGAGCTATTAGGATTGACTGATGGCACTGTGCACTTGATGGACCAGTTCGCGAGTGTGGCGCTCACTAACTAACTGCAACTCGACCGGGGCACTGAGAGGAACGGAGATCAGTTTGCCAGACATTAGTGGAACGACATGGTTGGGGGGCACCTCAGTGTCCTGGGTCACCGGCGCAGGGTTTTGTTGTTCCATGGCCTCATTTTTCATTTCTGCATTTTCTATGCTTGTGTATACACGGGTTTCCGGACACTTGGGCGGCATGCGGAGACATTGGCAGTAGCTCAGATTGTACAGGAAATACTCCTCGAAGTCTGCGTTGGGTTTCAGAAGCTTCTGGTAGTGCTCCAGGCTTTCCAGATCCATGGGATCTAGTTGACTGGCGGCGCAGTCCAGCTTCAAGTGCATGCTGAAAAAGTAGTTGAACAGCTCGTCCACCAGATCGATGAAGAACAGTATGGGCTTGTGAAAGGCATCGCCCATGATTAAAGGCGTCTCCTCCTCGAGATTCAGTTTCTTGCATTCGCGCCTGAAGGCCAGGACATACGACCGCAAGGACTGAATTACGCAGCCCTGGCTTTGGTTGGAGCTGACGATGACGTTGTAGTGTAGGTAGTACTTCTGGATAATCTCCTCTTTCGGCTCCACGACATACAGCTGCGTGCACTTAGAGCTCGCGTCCCCCTCCATGGCGATCCTTTACCGCTGGATGAGTTGCCACAGCGTCAAGGCCGCTATCGCTTGCAGTTCCATCTCCTTCTTAAAATTTTCGAAGATGTGCCGATACTTATTCTTCACCGAGAGCAAAGCACTCAGCACTCTTCCATCCACGCTCTCATCCATTGTGTCCAGCTTATGCAGAGCTGCTTGGACGCCGCTCTCGGTGGTTGTGAGGCGCGAATGCGTACACGGAGCCACCGGAATGGTTATTATATTCGGAGCCTTAATATTGCACTCCATTTTTGTTTGATATAGGGTCTGTTATATGTCTATTCGAGTAGTTGACATCTGAAGTTGGCTTAAAGTTCCATGCAATCGTTCCTTATCCTAGGGCTCCTTCCTACTGATGACTCCATCTACCGATATCTCCACGGCTTCATCCAGTATATGGGTGAGTGTCGACAGCTAGCATCATGGCCAAATTCAATATATGTTGCTGGCAGACAAACGACACTGCCACGTGGCATACGTCGTGTGTTGGGTTGCAATGAGTTCCCAGCTACAGAAAAAAGAGCCAGGACACACAAACAGGACACAGAAAGAGAGAGAAAGAGAAATGAAAGCCATTCTACAGAAGAAAAAGAAACAACTTTTGAGCACTGTCGATGCTGATATTTTTTGGAGTGGATGTGTCCACAGACGGACAAAGTTTAATGAGAAGATAAAGCAACAACGAATTAAAACTCAAACAGAGAACACGAATTGCAAAGCAAATTTCGTTTCTATGAGTTTTGGAAGGAACCATCCGTATTTAACTAATAGTCCAACGAAAATAATATAAGAGCTCACCCGGGCGGATGGCAGCCAACAGGAAAAATATATTCCTTTGAAAATCCTCTAGCTGAACCCTCCACAAGGGTGCCGGCTGGGCAATGGCCTCTGCATTATCCCAGATAAGGGTAATGCACTGTCGCTAGCTATGTCCGAGGCAATGCAGTCTCTAGCTAAGGCAATGGTCTTGTGTCTTCCCGATCTAAAGACGGAGGAACTGAACTAAGGCCATGGCTGGAGGTGACTGGCGGGCAGGCATAAAACGCTCCCCCCGAAAAACACCAACCAAAAATGGACCTTCGGGCCAATTATGGAGCGGACGGATGAGCAAGCCTGGGTTGGGATTTCAACCCAAACGTCGGTGGAAAGCGTGACTGCTACAACCGGCGGGCACGGGGAGGAGCAATGCACTCTGTGGGACGCCAGCGGTCCCACCTCGGACTTGGCGGGAGCAGGCCAGGTCAGTTGCAAAGCTACGGCCACAACAACAACTCACTCTAAGCTGAGCCGTTCAGATGCCGTGGTGAAAGCAGACAAGGATCTGGAGAGCGTGCTCTCGACTCTACTCTCGACGTTCGACTGAGAGTGCCATTAAGGACACTCCGGCGAGAGTGCAGCCCCTCCACCGGAATCGTCGAAGCAGCCGAAGGCGAAGGTCTTTGATCGTGGTAGAAGCGGTAAAATTTGGTAAAAGCGGCACACAGAGGCACACCTCAGGGTGGAGTGATGTGGCCGCTACTGTGAAATCTGGTGGTCGAAGACCACATCAAGAAATTTGGAAGGAAGGCCCCAAAAATAACAGCTCATGCTGATGACAACAGCATGCTTATTACGGGTGTACTTCCATCAACCCTCAACTCCTTAATGGGACGTACACTCAGCGTGGTACGTGAGTGGGCGGAACAAGTAGGAGTCAGTATCGACGCGGACAAGACGGACCACATCCTCTTTACCATGAGGTACAACCGATCTGGATCCTCCCGAAAATTTACCAATCTCGGCTAACCCCAAAAACGCAAGTCAAATGCCTTGGCACAGAATTGGACAGCAAACTGGCATGCAAGCCCGACATAGTGGAAAGGGTGAAGAAGGCCACCATTGCGCTTTATGCATCCAAGAAGATGCTCATCAGCACTTGGGGCCTCCCACCCGCTCTAATGCACTGGATTTAAATCCTTAGTGTGGTGGCAAGCTACCGGAAAGAAGACGTACAACAAGAGCACTCTAAACCGTACTCGGAATACGCTCGTCTGACTGCACAAAAAACAGTACAGCGTCTAATCGCATCAGAAAATATGTCGCCACAAGGATACGGGAATAGTTCAGTTGGCAGGGACATGACAAGATCTACTGATTACATGACCTCCCAAACTTGTCTCGACATCAAAACTATCTCATCTTTGGGACCCGAAGACTGGAAAACGAGAAGGGACCAAGCTGAGCACCTCAACAGTTTTCGCCATCAGAAGGAAACGAGGAGTACCACCACCTGCAGAACTTCGAAATCATGTGCAAAGAACGCAATGAAAAACTCAGTCACTACCTACTGCCCCTACCACGGAAGGACTACAGACATTTAGTGGGAATACTTACAGGTGAGGCATCACCAACCATGACAGCTGTAGGACATGTGATGAACCTGGGGTAATCGAAATCCTGGAACATCTCATCTGCAACTGCCCGGCCCTCTTACGGGCAAGGAGAAAAAACCTGGGCGCCCCGGTGCTGGCATCACTGGAAGATGTCTCCAAGAGGACGCCACAGCAACTACTGCCCTATGCGAAAAACACCTCGATTCTCGAGGGTTCTAAAATCTCATAAAAACTCCCGCAACGGCTTATACCCCACTATCTGGATAACTAAGGGCCATACTGGCCTATACGTGGATCCGCTGAGGGACGTCCGGGTTAACCTAACCTTTACCCATAAAGTCTTTCAATATTGACTTAATGGCAAGATTATGTGTGGTCAGATCCTGACTTTAATAAGCCAAATAGATTAGATGTAATAATTGGAATTGATTGTCTGCCCATATTT